ACTGTATTACCATTAGTATCTTCACTGTCAGGATTAGCTCCCTTTGCATACAGTAATCGATAACAATCTTCGAGTTCAAGACATGCAGCGAATGATAGCGGATATTCTCCCCAATAGACGTGTCTATGAATGAATGGATTTCTCATTAGTTTATGGATTGTTTGTATGACAGGAAGAGGTGATATGCAAACCCCATATAATTGGTCTCAGTTTTCATTTGATACCATTCATGCTCTAAGACTCCTTCGCGCGACTCTTTCTGGTCGTCCACACAAAAGAATTTGCCGATAGCCCGGGCCCGAACATCTGCCCCGTTGTTCAGCAGATACTTAACCATCGATAGGTCTTCGTTCACAACAGCCATATGAAGAGCTCCCTCACCATAATACTCATCATCCAAGTAAATGTCTGCATTCATTGCATACACTTACTAAACATTAACTTCATTGTATTTTACATTCAAATACAAACCATTTACTAATTTTGGAAATATTTTTACCAAACGTCGGGCCAGTTCTACGTGAATAGGCGTCGACACCAACTTTAAAGCATTTCATTCATAGATTATATTAAAACATTTCTTTAAATTTAGCACTTAAATTTAAATATAATTAAAGTTAATGAAAATAAAATTAAATGTAAAATTATTTGAAGATATTTTATTTTCAAAATCTCCAATATTGAACACTAAACGAATGAATACAAACGAAATTCAAGAGTCCACTCTAGAATATATCATTAATAACTGACTACTAAAATACTGAAAATGTAGAAAAGTAAGAAATAAAGAAAAGTTTTCTTTTCTACTGTATATAATAAATGACAACTTAAAGGCCCCAGATTCTTAAGTTAAGAATAACTTATTCTTAAAAGTGAGTGACACCTTTTGCAAACCTTTTATCAATATGAAAATATAACATACAGATATCAACTTTATAGCTAATACTTGTTAGTAATGTAATAATGTAAATGTCATACCAGACACATATGTAGCACAGTTTCACCAACCGATCCCCTTTCACTAATTTTCCAGCAAACATCTCTGTACTCACAGTCCATAACCGGCAATATGTCTAATTATTGAATTCAGCGCTTATTATGGAATTTTAAATTGAAAAATTCAAAATTAAAGTGAAATTACTTGTGTTTCTCAAAACATTTGGGAGGAATTGATGTAAAAAACTAAAAAATCTTGTCCTCACAATCGTTTTATTATCATTGTCTTCATAGTCTTCATCAATTTCTTGATCATTTGAATTGAGGATTAATTTATTGCCAAAGGCATCTTTATTACGCAAACGAATCAACTGACAAATGGATACTTTCTTGCCTTCGCCCCCATTGTATAGAAAAGGTCTCACTATTTCTTGGATCTCATTGTCAACCTTACGTTCAAATTACAAAATACAATAACTAATAATTAGTTATATAACCAATTATACAACCAATAACCAATAACTTTATACAGTAATATGAGTATTATGTATTAAGAAGCAAATATGGCCATGATAGTTTCATTTGTATGGACATTTACTTAATTATATGCTTGATAAATAAGCATGGTCAAACAAAAAGTGCGATTTCGGCTCATTTTTGCGGCTAATTGAGTGCTAAGTTAATCTTAAAATTTAATAATTTATTTTCAAATATATTGTTAAATCTAACTGCTAAAATAATGACCCTTTGCGGACACTGGTACAAATACTATATACAATTGGTGAGCCTTTTAGTGTACTATTCATTAAATTATTTGTACATTTACTATTTTAAATCTTAATGTTAAATTGTTAGTTTTAATTTAAAACTTTCAAACCTAATGCTCTATAGTTTACTTATTTATTATTTTAGTTTAATTCCGTAGTACCCAGCAAAGAAAACATAAAATTTACTATAATACCTTTACTAGAATTATTTGTAATGTAAATTAGTTACTTTGTATTTGCTTTAAAAATATAAGCAATCAATGTAATTGGAGATAAAAAAAACTAAAATTACGATTTGAACAATAATAAGAGGGAAGTTCTTAAAATGACAAGAATATAAAATTAAATTTTGAAGTCAAGTAATTTTTATAAAAAATTAAATTAATTTTTAAAAGATTCTTAATTTGAGTTAATTTAATTTTAGAATTTTCACTTTCATAAACCAATATTCATTAAATAAGAAGTAAATATAATAATAAAATGATAAATACTCTGGTGAAATCTCCGGTTCTGATGGCATTCCTCATGATATCGACAAGTATTCCTCCTTTCTTGACGTCAACCAAAGAATATATCTTTTTGTTAGAAACGGCCTGTTTTTTGACGCCAGCCGTCACATCGCTGTGAATATTTCCCATTGAATTACAATATATGATTTTATAAGTACTTATAAACACTTTGATTTAATGGTCTCTTTTATAACATTTAATAGACTGATGAGACTAAGCCTTATACTAGCAATTAAGAAATAAAAGCATTTATTTGATTATTCTCTTAAATAACACCGACTCATAAGCACTCGAATGGCAATTGAAACAAAGTTTGAGTAATTTGTTTAGCAATACTTACTGTGAAATAACAAATTGGTCGCTAAGAGCCATTGGAAACTTGAATTGAATTGACTATTTTTTGTAACGGAAATATAAAGTTATGCTATAATTAATAAAACAGAGAATACATTATTCCCACCCTTTCTTGAGCTACAAATTCTAGTCATTTGTTTCAAAATTCAAATGCAAGGAATCGACTGAATCTCTGGCTAACTGTTAACTCTTCATTCTATTCACTGTTAAGTATTGCATTAATTGTATAATAAAAGCTTAACTCTTATGAAGTTAGAGTATAGTAAAGACATGACTTTTTCGGAGTCACAGCATGTTATCATTGAATTCAGTAAAAAGTAAAAGATTATATTAACATGTTAACATAATTTTAACTAATTACTGTATGTCAATATAACTTGATATAAATATATAGTAGGTTTGCAGTTTCATTATACGGTAGTACTACATAATTAACTAGGAGTATTTTTGATTACTATTCTAAATTATAATTGACAATAAAATAATAAACAAAATACTAAATACAGGTATATAAAAGTAGTTTTAAATTAAAAATAAAATTGTGATTGAAATTCTAAAACTAACCTAATCAGTAAATCTTTAAATCTAATTTAAGAATATTATACGTAATGTTGAAGTTCACTAAGTTATTAATTATTATTAACTATTAATTATTAATTATTAACTAGTTATTAAACATTACTATAAAAAGAGTCCAAATTGTGAATACCCGAAAGAGCTGAGACTTTGTTCATAACAAATATAACGATGAAAAAATTGTTATCGATTTTTGGTTTACATTTCACATAATTGGATGT